TTGCTGCTGTAAGGTCTCCTTGGAGCTTTCTCTTCTCCATGCTGAACTACCCCAACTTTCTCAGCCTGTCTTCATAGGAGAGATGCTCCAGCCATCTGATCATCTTCGTGGCCTCTTCTGGACCCACTGAAGCAGGTCTATGTCCTTCTTTTGCTGGGGGCCCTAGAGCTGGACTCAGTACTCCAGGTGGGGTCCCACAAGAGTGGAGTAGAGGGGGAGAATCATCTCCCTCGACCTGCTGGTCACCCTCCTTTTGATGCAGCCCACCATACAGTTGGCTTACTGGGCTGCAAGCACACACTGCCAGGTCATGTTTAGTAATTCCAAATTGTTTATCCACCATTGTTGGACTATAAAGTATATCTTACTATGTGAAGATACAAAAATAAAATTAAAGCCAGGAGTAACATGTTAATCTTCCACTAGACCAGGTTGCTCAAAGCCCCATCCAGGCTGGCCTTGAACACTGCCAGGGGTGGGGCACCCACTGATTCTCTGGGCAACCTGTGCCACCTAATCTAAATCTACCCTCTTTTAGTTCAATTCAAAGCCATTCCCCCTTGTTCTGTCTCTATGTGCTCATGTAAAAAGTCCTTCTCCAGATTTCTTGCAGGCCCTGGTAGGTTGCTGCTGTAAGGTCTCCTTGGAGCTTTCTCTTCTCCATGCTGAACTACCCCAACTTTCTCAGCCTGTCTTCATAGGAGAGATGCTCCAGCCATCTGATCATCTTCGTGGCCTCTTCTGGACCCACTGAAGCAGGTCTATGTCCTTCTTTTGCTGGGGGCCCTAGAGCTGGACTCAGTACTCCAGGTGGGGTCCCACAAGAGTGGAGTAGAGGGGGAGAATCATCTCCCTCGACCTGCTGGTCACCCTCCTTTTGATGCAGCCCACCATACAGTTGGCTTACTGGGCTGCAAGCACACACTGCCAGGTCATGTTTAGTAATTCCAAATTGTTTATCCACCATTGTTGGACTATAAAGTATATCTTACTATGTGAAGATACAAAAATAAAATTAAAGCCAGGAGTAACATGTTAATGAGAAGTTGTCCTGCTCAGCAGTAGAACTCTCTTTACTCAGCAAAGTCCAAAGTGTTGAAAACTTTGTATCTTTGACTAGCTTTAATCAATAGAGATGTCCTATTCAGATTCCAAGACAAGTTGGGGTTCCAGATACTTCCTGTGAACTGTATTATGCAAATTGCATTTGCAGGTACAGTGGCACTTACCTGTTGGTAGGGCCTTAGCATAAGCAAAAGCTCATGCAGCAGCTAAGTCAATGTGCTCTGTTAGCCCATGTGTGTAAAACCATAATGTCTTCTTCCATAGTGCTGTGATGTGAAAGAAAAGTTATACAGTAACCCCATTTTCTGGACTTTAGGAGATTTTATGCTAAAGGGTGTGTCTAGGTTCATATGAATAAGCAACTGAAAAAGATAAAGTGTCTGTGGTGTCATAAATCATCGTCATTGGAACTGTGAAGAGCTGATTTCCTTAGCTTTGCCCAACTGCAATATCCCACAATAGAGCTGTCCTGCCTGGTGATGAAGGATCAGCACAACTACCATCAGGTGGCTAGTTCACCACTTCACTGATGCAAATTCTTCTTCGCCCTTCCCTAGTTGTTCTCTACTAATGAGGTCTGCATTACTTGATGTAGATTGCGCCTCCCTTTACCACCATACACCATTTCCCACTTACTCGGGTGGTTAGGTTGTGTGGCATTAGGTAATGGGCAAGTGTTGGGATATGGTAAGGCTCATGAGCTTGCCATAACATGAAATTATTTCAATGTCTTTGGTATTGTTTAGTTTTCAGCCATGAGGAAGCTGAACCATCATTTTGTGATACCTTTTCCTTTACCACCCATGGAAAGGTATCTAAATCTGTTGAAAAAACAAACAGCAGAGGATTAGGATTTCTGGTTTATTCTGCATTGGAAAAGAATCTGAGACATACTCTAAAAAATAACATATAATGAAGGTGTTACAAAAAAGTTTTGTATAATCACACTTGCTTGAGCTCTGCAGTTTACAGTGCATCATGTTCTTACTGCGTATTGACTGCATGCACCTTCCAGTGGTGTTCTACAGAAACATTCAGTACTGTATTTAAGCTACACTTCAGTAGTAGCAACTTCATTGCAACTTCGACACAGCCAATGACACAAAAAATCTTGAAGACTGTTGAGCTTTAATGGGGCCCACTTTAGTGTAGAATTCTTGCTTTCTAAACACCTGCAAAGAATTTTACTTGATTTCATTAGCAACAAGGAAAAAAATTATTAATGTTTTTATTTTCAAAGTTTCTTTTGCTTTGGAGGCTTATTGAAGAACATGGAGGTAATCTTACATAAATAAAAAAAAATAATAGATTTCTGATTGTTCAGACTGTCACTGTGTTCTTAACTCATTCTGCTGTACTTGGATATTGGAAAGGACTTGGAACAGGTGTAACATGACATACAACACTACGTGATTTATGCCACTCTACCTGGAGAATATACTGTGGGGTAATAGCTAATAGTGTGAATTTCAGAGATGCTCAATACCAACAACTTCAGCTGAAATGAAAATGAAAGTGGCAGCTGCTCAGCACAGCTGAAAATGGGGCCATGAACATCAGCCCTAAAACTGCATTCCATCGTGTTTATGGTTTAACATCAGCATGTCAAAACTTTATCTAAACAGCATCTTTTTAGTTTTATTATTTCTGTCACAGTAGGGCAAGAAAAAAACATCAGTAAGGATGTACTTCATTTTTCTGTTGAGCCTTCTGTCTCGCTCAGCCTCAGTCCACAAGTGAACTATATTGGAAATTTGAGGGCAATCTGTTTAGTCATTTCTAAAGTAGGCAAGAAGTGGTGTGGGAGAGAGGTTTTCCTAGTTTCTCCTGTTGTTGCTATATTACTTTTTTTTTTAAAGCATTGTTATGTTGAAAGCAAACAGCTGAAGAACAGCAGAATTCAAGGCCCATTTCATACTTAGTTGGATGACTGTATTGACTCAGGCCCTTCGGTGAAACACTATAGCTTTATTCCATTTGAACATCTAGTCCTCAGTGCATGGTTCTCTCTGCTGAGTCTAGTGACAAACCTGAGATCACCCAGACTTTTTCTCACGTGCTTGCAACCAGCAGAATCTGAAGGTATCACAAAATTTAGCCTTTCTGTACCTTCTCTGCACCCGTGCTGAAAGGCCACTGTGCGTGGCTGTGACTAAGGAGCACTGCCTGATAATTTTTGCTGTTCTTGATGGAGGACCAAAGGTAGAGACCTCTAAACAGCTTGGCTGTTTAGAATGGGCAATTAGAATTATTTTAAGGTGTAACAGGTAAAATGCTGAAAGAAGTGTGAGAAACCAAAACTATATGAAAACAGTTACTATATATGTACACATATATGTATGTATAATTTCTAGTTGTCTGTTGTTCAGTGTTCATCTCCCATTCCTGTTGCTGGCATGTGGAGCTAGGAGGCTGTGTGAGAATGTCATGGAGGAGCAAAATGCAAGATTTGGGACGGGTATAAATGCAGGGAGGCAAGCAGGCACTCTAAATCAGATTTGTAATGGTAACACAGTGGCTAAAGCAAATGCTGAAATGAAGACAGGAGAATAAACCTTTGGTCACTTCCATATTAGCACATCAAGTCATGACACAGAGGGGAAGGTATTTTCAGCAATTTTAGGAATATCTAAAAGTTTTCCTCCTTTCTTCAGGCTCATGATGTGGGGAGGAGCTGGCTTTTTTGGGTAAACGAATGTAAATGATACATTATTAATAAAACCCCTATAAACATAATAAAAACTCTTCACAGTAGTTGTCTGTGTAATGTTAAATGTATGATGATGTGATATTGAGAAGTTTTACTGGGGTTTGTTCAACTTGCAATTCACTTCTGGCTCTCCTACACTGGCCAAATTCAAGCCAAGAAAACGACTGTACTTATTATAAAATGTATACATGCTGTCATTGCTGAAGAACTAAATTTCATTATATAACTAATAATTTCACTTCAGCATTTCCAGTTTTTGACGGCATATCCTGTGTCAGGGAATATGGTAAATATTGAGGCAAACTTGTTTCATTATGTAAGTCAAATCTTGAAAGGTTTCATATGCAGCCAGTGTGTGGGTGTATGTGTGTTTGTTTATTTGAGTATGTATCTGCCTACATAATCCCTCATCTTCTAGTCTACATATTTCCCTTGTCATAAGTAAAATCATATTAACCACTGTTAAATTGTAATACTTTATACTTATTATTATATAGTGTCTTTCATCCAAGTCTCTCATTCTACTTTAGTTATTAATTAATGCTTGATAATCCTGGTATGACATGCAAAATATTATCCTCATTAATAATGATTAAACAGACTCAACTCACAAAGCAATTAAACACTTGTCTATAGTGGCATTGCCATTCCTGTTCCAAAGATGTGTTTATTCCAAATTCACTGTCTTCCTGTAAAATCTCAGTAGACAGGAAGCATGTTAGCTTTATCTCACTGTATCTGGTTAAGGTCAGTGTGGTTGCGTGTGTACATGTGGGTGACTGTAACTTGCTGTGTTTAGATTAGTAACTGTCTGTGCTTTCTTCATCCTTCTTTTTGGTTTTAGTTATTTGAGATTCCTCTCTTGAGTTAACAAGCTTGATTGCAAGACGCACTCTTTTGAAGCAAGGACATAGCCAGCTAAGTCAGTCAGAAATTGAATCTGTAATTAGAATCATAGACTCATAGAATAATTAGGGTTGGAAAGGACCTTAAGATCATCTAGTGCCAACCCCCTGCCATGGGCAGGGACACCTCTCACTAAACCATGTCACCCAAATGATAATAAGAGTGTAATTCTTATACTCTTGTTCTCATACTGGTTCTAAATATTCCACTGTTCTTTTATAGGGTAGATACATAATACAGAACTGAACCAAATCCTATCCCCTGGTTCTGAAATGTCCAGAAGCTATCAAGATAGTATTTGACTTCTTTTCTTTTCCAGCTTAACCCACACTATCCAGAAGGTAATAATGAAGGAAAAGCTTTGGTAAGTGGAATTTATATGTTACATATGATCTGGGAAATACTGTAACTTTAACCCAATACAGCCAAACATATGAAAGTTCTTCATTGCTTTCCTTTTACTCACATGTTACAGCTGCTGGGGTTGTTTTCTATGTCCTGTGTAAGCTAGCGTGCAACTCAGAACTGGCGTTACAGAAAGTTTAGCTTTGTGTAAGGCAAATGATGGGAAACTTTTTCAAATTCTGCATCAAATTGGCATTAGTTGGAAGCTGATCTGCTTGGTGACTGCAGATATGAAATGCATTAATTCTTCTCAAGTCAGATTTATTATTTCATGGCAAAACCCACTACCCTTTTTAGCAAGAAGACCGGGGACTAGCAAGTCTGATTACTTCTGTGCCAATAACAGTTCAGAGGCTCTGCTAGTGGAGACAAGCTACCTTGGGGCATGTTTGACAGTCAAGTATGGCTCTAAATCTAAGAATATGCTGGGACATTTTTTATTGCCTTTATTGAATTACATGTGATCAGATATTCAGGCACAGGCTTAGTCTGAGTCCTGCCACCCTTCAGGCAACTCAAGCATGACATCTTCACAAGGATCCAAGTTGTCCTTGCTGCAGTGTGGATGGGTGGGACAAAGGCCTTATACCCTTTGCCTAGAAAGCAGCAGCCTTTGCCTTGTACTGCATCAAGAGCATGACAGCTGATTCTAACTAACGAGGCGAGGTCAGACACGTTGTAGTTTATAAGGTGTGAAGGAAGTGGACTTAAAACCCTGGGGAAACTTTATTGTTACTGACACAACAAGTAGTCCAAACCATAATAATTCCTCCATCAAATTCATGAGATTGCCTTGAAAATGCTGAGACCTTCTTTGAAAAAATCCAGTTTAATTTCTTTCTGTTTGCCTTCTGGCTGTTGTTCTTTAAGAGGACACATTTTCAAGTTTTCCTCTGCATGGGGAAGAATTTTTTATTTTTCATGAAATGAAACCCAAGATTCTTACATAATCACATGCCTTCAGGACTACAATTTTAATAAAAATGGAGACTTTTGTAGGAGTTGGCAACATTGGTTTTCCATCTTCCCGGGTACTTGGTATTAATGGTAATATAGCAATAACAGCTAAGCTGTCTAGAGAAATGAGAGTTCTTTCTCATGAAAATACAAAGTTCCACCAGTTGTTTCTCTTCTGTATTGGAATGACACTTGAAGCCCTTGGAGCTTTCAAATGGAAATCAGAAGTTCTAGAGTAGGGTAGAGAAGTTCAGTGAGTAGAGTGCTTGCCTGGAAGTGTTTAGGTTCATGCTCTTGCTCTGTGAACATTAGAGCTTGTGTTGTAGAAGTGCATCTGCAGTAACATTGTCAGTCACATCATGATGGTACTTCTGAATCAAATCTCCAGATTATTCGCTACTTAAGACACTCCAATTTGCAGAGCAATCTCAAAGCATCTAAACCTGTATTCTATTGCATGAACATAAAATGATGCGCATGTCCTGGAAAGTGTCTGCTGTGCTCTAACATTTCATGGGTGTTCAGTCCAGAAAATCAGAATACAGCTAGTCTGAAGTCCTATAAAAATATCCACAGGGTAGATGTTAGGCCCTTGTCACTAAGGATCCAATCCTATTGTTCCACACTGTGCTATTTAGATGTAGTATAGTGTTTCCACTTGTAGCAATTCCAGTTCACCTAAATAGTTAAATATTTGCTGGGCTGGATAATGAAGAAAGCACAAGAGTAATCTGAACATGAATGTTAAAGGTGACTTCTCTAACAGTTTGGCTTAATCCACCTGGGTATTGGTTTCAACTAAAACCCCAGACCAGATAAATCAGATTACACAAATACTTCCAATGAAAATTTAATCAAAACTTATTGATGATCAAAACTGATGTCTCTGTGAAAATTTTAGCTTACCCAGTCAGCATTTTCTTCTGCAAAATGTTTTGTGAAAGAACTCCTAACAACATTTGGTAACGCCTCCGTGTAAATGTAAGCCTACAGGCACTTTGAGCATCGTAGAAATCCCTTTGGATCCTTCACCCCTTTACAGTCTTGTTGGAAATAGCATGAGTCAGCAATGGCTATTTTAAGCCTTCATTCTGGTCTTGAGCAACTGAGCAGAAAAGCTTCACGTGCCTGTGCAGGAATTTCTTTTAGGTTAGAATGATGCAGTATTTTGAATTATCCCTCAAACATACAAGGATCTAATATTTGAATTGCTTTAAGGGCCAGCTATGTCAGTCTTGTATCCAGTATGCACTTAACCTAGAGCACACAGGCTTTCTTTGCTCTATGGTTTTCATCTAGTGTTTCTTCTGCTAGGTGACTGCCTGATTCACTGCAAAGGTGTCTTCTTTTTCACCTTTTGAAGCAATTAATTTTGAAATACTGCCTGCAAAGTGAATCTGCTCTAGAGGGGGAGGCGGAAGGGGATCTACCCCAGCAAAATTTGAAGTCTGAGTAGCAGGACAAGTGGAGATGCATACTTGAATCCTTTCAACTGAAGGAAGAAACTGAGCCTGCAGCCTGTGTTTTTCTTTTCTCTGCTAGTCTGTTGGATAAAAGGGTACCAGCTCCTTATCCGTCGTCTGGGTTTTAAAGGCAGCACAGCCATCTGTGCGTTTCATGCCAACCCTTAACTCCTAAATGTGTGATAGGGCTCCTTGTGCATGTTCACTGCCTGGTTTACAAGTCCTCATCACAGTTGCTTAGGCAACTGAGTGTTAGGAAGCAGCAGCGGAGGTTTTTCTGTGGTGCATAGTGGGCACAGGCACCTAAGTTCTGCTTAGGTGCACCTTTTCTGCCTTGCCTTAAGTGACTTAAAAGTCTGAAAGGCTTTTGGCTCCAGAGAACATACATATTACTGGAAGACATTAGGACTTTTGTTCCCAAGCATTAAAGCATTGTTTGGACTGCAATTTGCTGCTCATTTATGGGCTGTCTTCTTAAAAATCCAGCCAAATTGTCTTGTGAAACATTGCTTTCATTTCTGGTAAAATTTGGCCTTACAGTAAGTTGGTTAATATTCTTTATACATATTTTTCTCACATATAAACTCCAGAAGAATTTTTTTTTATTTTTTTTTTAAATAGGGAGACCTTTCTGTGATTTAAAGGCCTTATCAAAAAAAGGCTTCTTCATCTCTTCAAGTCTTGGAGATTGTAGTGTGTTATACATCAAAACGCAGTGCTCTGTGTTACAGCTCCCATTAAATTTGAAATTGGTGTATTTTATGCTGCAAAGTAGTCTATTATTTCTCATCACAGAAATGTACAACATCCAGAAGAATGCCATCAACACTGGGGAAATGTCAAGAACAGCTGGGAACCTGGCATTTGTTAGTGCCTTTGTATTAAAGGCTGTCTTTGGATAGGTACCTTAACGTTTGTCTGCATTTTCATGATAGTGCACTAATCCTAGCCAGTTCCCAACTGGCTTTTATTGTTGAGATTTTTCTTAGGGTTGAGACTGGTATACATTTATTTTCTTGTAAAGAAGTTGGACATCTTCTAGATGCAATTTGATGTATTTCCTTTGACTTCTGTTTATCTATATTTATGAATTCCAACCAACTCTGCAATTCAAAGTTTTCTTTCTTGCTTCCAATCCAGGTGATTAATTTTTTTTTCCCAGATAAACATTGTAAAATAAGCTTTTCAAATATATTTTACCTTCCAGCAACTACGTTTGTTTAATTAAAATTTTGTAATGTGGAACTCAGGTGATGCAGTTTAAACAAGTAGAATAGGCTTGGGGAATTTATTGTGGTTTTATTTAAAGGCTTGGCTAGGAATTAACCTGGCAATAAACAATCTGAAAAACATTAAAAGAAAGGGGGGCAGGGAAGGGGGACAAAGAAAAATAACCAGGTTTAAAATGGCAGTGTCTCCGCTTATGTAAAGCCAGCAGTCAGACCACTTGAGAGGCTGAGGGAGAAGAGGAGACACAGATGCCGGCACATTATTATTATTCTGCTGCTGCACACAGGTCTGAATCAGCTCTGAAAACGCATACATTGTTTCTTACAGAATGTCTCTGGCTCCTAACAACAGAATTGCAACCTGATGTCTCTGCTAAAAATGCGATGACTCACAAATGAGTCAACACTGAAGGTGTTACAGGAGGCTAACTGCTGTGCTGTCTGCCAGGGCTTCCTAACATGCACGAGCAAAGGCTGGCCATTAATTTACTCGATTTTCTTTTCATATAGTTTTTTAAATCAGTCTAACCTATGGAGTTCTGCTCGTGTTATTGCTCTGTGAAAATGCTGGTTTTGTAAGAGCCTCCTAAACTGGGTTAACATATTGAAATACCACATTGTACTGGATTTAACAGGCATTTTCAGAACTCTGGCTGCTATTAAATTTAATTTCTGCTGAAATCTGTAGTGCAGCTTAATGTATTCATCCAGGAGCAGGGCATTATGCTTGTCTATCTCCATGCCACAAGAGGTGTCTTCAGCAATTGGAATTGTAGATTTGATTTCTAAAAGAAAAGGTGTTTCAGGTCTGTCATGTTTTTATATTGCTTTTTGGAGTTGAAATGAAGGCCCCTCCCAAGCACAACTCCATGTAAATCTCCCGGATTTTAGGTATGATACCCAGTTGAGTTGAATAATGGGGATTTGGGATAGGTCACAATTACTAGCAAATTATATTAAGAGCTGTGAAGAAGGGTTATCTGCTGGGCTCCAAGTCTCATGAGAAACAAGTCTGATTGTACCTGTTTATTTTGTCTCAGATTACAATATGGGATTTCTCTCCAGTTACATTTGCTCTTCAGATTGCAAACACTGTATTATGTGTGAATTGGTTTTTTTTAAGCTTTTAAAATTGGTATGATGCACTGCAAATCAGCAGTGGTAGCCCAAGAGTTATGGGCTTTATTGTGAGCCTGTATCAGGATTTTCACTCCTCGCCAAAATGGTTGGTTATTGTCACTAACTAGGACACCTTTTTTGAACACTCAGCCTTTGCTTTCCTAGACCAGTCCCACTTTTGTGTAGGGATATGTTCAGTTACCCCTCTTGGCAATGTCCCATTGTACATGTGAGTAGTGTGCTTTGCTTTACTGCTGCAGAATGAGGCTGGTGACTAGGGGGCCAACAGCCCTCTAGTCCAGTGGACACTTAGGTTTTATTAGGCAGAGTAGGCTGATTCTGTTCTTTGTATCACCTGGTATTTGGACCAGGTCATTTGGAAGGCGTAGGTCCAACTCCTGCCAGGCAGAAGGGGAGCTGAATGTTCATTTCCTTCATCCTTGTAAGCGATATAACCAGTGCATGACAGAGGTGATTCCACCTTCCTCACCTTGGATATTTATCTGTTTGGACTTGTAACAGCCTGTCACTGGTTTGCCAGTAGTCTGGGACAATCAAAACTACTTTTTTTTTTCTCCTCACTGAATTTACGATTTTCTAATATTGTTTTACCCACAGTTCTTGCACTTCTTCTTTACTCATAGCATGTAATACACCTGCTTTTATTTTTCTGTTTAAAGAAGTCTTGGGAGCGCTTTCCTTGGCTGTGACTGACCACATTGCCAACATCTTTGAAACTGTTAATTTGCTTCCTTTTCATACTTCTTTAAGTTGAATTTTCTTTTCTCTACATTTGAGCCCCTTCACAGTTCTTTATCTCCCTTCTCTTCATTGAATCTGGTTTTGCTGGCTGCATCTGCTCATAGGCCAGTTTCTTCTCTGGGCAAATGTCATCTTGTTCTCATCTGGCTAGGAATATAGTGCTTCTCCTAGGCTGATCATATTGTCTAATTAACTCGAAATATTCTAATACTTTCACTTCTTTACACATCCTCATTATAGACTCATTGTTGATTCAATAATGGGTAGGTCAAGCGCAGTTTTTTATGACTGCTTACTAAATTAATCACAAGAAACTTTCTATGTGCAAATGTGTGTGCATTCTCCTTCTTTCTCACACACAGAGAGGCATGTGCACTCAGATATAAATTCAGACATAAGTAGAATTCCATGTATGTTCATATCTAATGACAGTATTGCTTTCTTTCATGCACTCCATGTATGTAAGTTGTTTTCAGAGCTGTCAAGTTGAGGGTCACTTCTTGTTACATGTTTCTTTCTAGTGCTTAACACCAGTAATCCAGGTTGGTTTGTGAGGTGTGTCTGAGATCCTAAATAAAAATTAGAAGGACAGTTCTGAGGTTTGTGCTGGAGTCCAGTTAGGAAGTACTGTGCTGCTTTTGTGAAGGTCTGATTTTGCACAGCTAAGCTTTGCATTGAGGTTAGCAGTGTTGCAGACACTGTCCTCTGTTGAAGTGGTCTTTCTTTTTAGACTAAATACCAGCTCTTGCTCCTATGCCAGGTCTGATTCAACAGCTAATAAGCCTGGTTGGCAGGATTTAGACCTGATGAGCCAACTCTGTTGCTCAACTGCATGTATACACTAGTTGGGAGACTAGTGAGTGGGTGAAACTGCAGGGTGAACTTCTCCGCAAAGCTAATGGTTAGCATGAGCTATTAAAGCACTGAAGACTTGACTTTGACTTTGCCTCCTGTCATAGAAATGTGTGCATAATGACTTGGTGGGGGTGGTCAGACATTATGTCATGAGCAAATATAACACAGAGTGGAATATGGTTGTATATTTAAGGTTTTATATTTTGGTGTGTATTTTTCCCAGAGCCCCAGGGGAAAAATGCATAACATGATGAAGTGTCCTGCTTTTTTGTGTACTGGTCTTTACAGTTTGGGAATTATAGTAGAGTGGGTAGTTTCTGGGAAACCCTAACTAGGTTCTAATATAAGTTATGGGAAATATCAGAAAGTCTGCATGCTGTAAGAAACTAGACCTGTTGAATCTTAAACTGGTTTTCCAATTTAAATTTAAGAAATAGATTTTCATTTGATGTTAGGCTGTGACTCATGCCTATTAAGCTGTTAAGAGGATTCTCTTGTAGTTTGCCTGTCCAATTTATCTCATTCTGAATACGTAAAACAAAATATGTATAGAAATCATAAAAAAATGCTATTTTTTTCAATCCTTGCATACAGGTGAAGTTTTTTGTGTGATTTTGTTTAGTATTTTTGGATTGTGGGATATGGTATGATGTGAGGACTGCCAGATGAGTTTACTCTTGTGTGAAACACAGGAGATGGTTGCCCTTTGTCTCAGCAAGCCTTCCTCTCAAAAACTAGTGACAGTTCTCTAGACTAGACAAGCGTAAGAAAAACTTCTGGGAAGATTTCTTCCTGTTTTTTTTCTTACTGCCTCTATCCTTGATAGAAGTAATGGAATGGAAAGCTGGCATTTTTTAGGCTTGCTAATGGAAAAATGGTTGTTATGGAAGGATTAAAAAAGTGCTGTGAAATTAGATGATAACTAGCTATTTTTTACATAGTTTCACTCATCCTTGATTTGATTGCTTAATCTCAATTGGCAACATGAATAATCAAAGCTCTGACCTTGATTATCCCTTACGCTTTGGTTTTAATCAAGGTACTAATGCAAACTGAGTACAGCCTAGCCTCTTTATGTTGCTTTGTACATGTCTACCCTAGTGGTGCATTATAAATCATTATAATAGTATTTCAGGTTTCCAGTGTTTAATTTTTCTTTTTGGCTTTTGTCATTCCTCTTTTCCTCTCCCTCTGCGATATATTTTGTGTACGTGAAGGGCCCTGAGCTGCCAGTCTCTTAATTGGTTATTAGTCTTTTGTAATATGTGTAATTCAATACCCCAGAGGAGCAGCTTTTACTTATGCCAATAATTCTGTTGGTTGCTGTGTGGTCATGCGTAGAGACTCCGAACTACTCCTTCAAGCAAAGATACATGCTTAGGGAGGGTAGCATTTGGAGTCTGTAAAGATAACTGAAAATGAAGATGGCTGCTTAGTGGTGCTGGGTCACAAAATTCGCATGGACTTTCAGCAGACAATGGGAGAAAGATCAGCACCTTAGATTTGCATTCCAACACAACTTTGTTGTGGCAACACAACACAATTCTGTAAATCCGTCACTTGAAAGCCAGGCTCCTCAAAGGGAACAAGCTGCTCCAGTTGCAGTGGACAAACTCAGACTTATGTTTGATCCAGCCTCCAATGCATTATCAGCCTGCGCAAAGATTTCTAGCCGTTGCTTTGTGTTGTGCCCCCTTCCAATAACAGGTTGATCTTAATGGAGTAGGTACTCTGGCTTTTGCTGTTTGGAAAGTGTGCTGTTGCGATTCTGACCATATGAGAGAGAAAAATGTGCAAACTTAAATAAAACAACAGTGGATTTAGGCAAATTGCTATCTTTTAAAATCCCCTTCCCCCTTAAAAAAATCCAATTTTCGTTAGTTCACTTCTTTTAACTTTGGCCCTTTCCAAATGAGCACTGTGTAGTTACATCTGTTGGGAGTGAACAGGCTTTTTAAAGTTGGAAGTGTCAGGTAATAATGTACACCGTACTGCAGTCTCTCTGTAGCTTGTGACCTGCTGTTGTTATAATGACTGTCTGAGACCCCATGTGCCTGGGGCAAAGTGCATCCTTTGTGTTACTCACTCCAAAGCCAGTCATGGTACATTCTTACTAGAATGCAAAAAAAAAGAAAAAAAAAAAAAAAGAAGTACAATTCAGATGTATTACTTGGCTATTACTTGTCTGCAAGGTAAATGGTGAATTTATAATGGGCCCTCATGCAAGCAAATAACCCTTGTACCTAATCAGCAGAGAGACGGCGACCTTCCTGCTTCAAAGAAGAAACGCCAAGCAGGGGAGAAGATTATGTATACTTTGGTCTCTGTGCCACATGGAAATGACATCGCATCTCTCTTTGAACTGGATGCCACCACTCTTCAGAGAGCTGATTGCCTGGTTCCAAGGTAAAAAAAAAATGGGGGAATGGGGGGTTGGTTGTGGAGAAAGGCAAAGAGTGCTGCATTGACAGGGTTCCTTCCTAGTATTATGCAGGTGAGTAAAGCAGAAAAAATCAAACACGAGCAAGTATTATCTTTCAGTTAAAATTTGAGGAGCATTCATGGATAAACAAGGGATGTATAAAACTTGATACTGCTGCCGTGACTGGGTAAAATAATGATAAGGATAAAACAAGTGACACCTAGTAAGAGTCTGTGAAGAGAAAAATTAGGGGCAAAATATTGCACAGGTACATATGAGGACTGAATTGAGCCCGGTGCACTGCTTGAAAAACTGTACTGCTAATAGATCCAACTGAATTGTTCCCAGCAAAATAACATGTATGGTAAACTGGGCTTCTGTTTCCCTGACAGATCATGATGCCACTGAACACATTTGCTATTCAAATGAATTCAGCAAGTGGCTTCTGGGTTTTAATTGTCAATATTTGAAATTTCAACTGTGGTGTGTTGCTGAGCTTGGCTAGATAAGTCACTTGGTGGAGGTTGTGACTGAATGGGCATGCAGACACTCAGGGCTAGTTGTTACGAGGGTGGATTTTAAAGCTGGGTACCTGCTAATACTGATGTATGCGGCTTTGAAGTGTATTTGCTATGCTAAATTTTGCCAGATAATTTGCTTACTTGAATACTCAAAGTCCATCAGCATGAAAGGGAGAGCATGAATGAAGACCATAGTGAATATATTTAAAAAGTAGAATTCAGAGTAAGAATTGTAATTGATTTCTCAGCTCTGCTTTTTGATAATACCATAGATTATCATATGGAAAGAATTTGGAAGAATCTCATGTTTGCTCTTTGTTCACTCGATTTTCAGTTGAGAACTGGTACTGCAAATGCTTGCTCCCTGAAACAAGGGATGGCAGATCATAATGGTGAAACTGTGAAACCATGGTCAGTTTTACTTTCTGGCTTTTGTGCTGTGACAGCTTGAAGGGGCTCATTACTCTCCAGAAAAAAAATAAGAAAAGAATTGGTTTTATTCATGAAATGTACTTCTATTCAGATGGGATTTTGTAACACCTTTATTTAAATTTTTTTCTTTAAAGAATATTTTAGTCCTAAGCTTATATAAATGCTTAAAACCAGCATTCTGCATAATCCCAAGATGCTGTTTTGTTCTTGTTGCATCTCTGTTCTGAGTGAGAAAGAAAGAAACAAGGGAAAGGGGTACTGCAGTATCTTTCAGATCTCCCTAATTCTTTTATTATGAGTGGCTGGTGTGACTCATGCCCTCAACTCTTATGTCATGGTCATGTGTTGTATTGCATCCCACCTTGCCCACTTTAGCTCAGGACTGATCCACCTTACCTGTTGTTTGCTCTGTTCTTCTTTAGGAACTCCTATGTCCGACTGAGGCATTTATGCACTAACACTTGGGTCACTAGTACCAGCATTCCAATAGATACTGATGAAGAGAGGCCTGTGATGTTAAAGGTAAACACATATGACTTGGGGTTGAAATCCCAAACTCATTCCTGAAGTTCTCTTCTGGTGATCTCACTTCTAACGTATAAAATATGCATAATAATTAGGATATAGGTAAGAGGATTGTTTACTCATATTAAACAAAAAACTATTGCAGATTGGGACATGCCAAACAAAAGAGGACAAGGAAGCTTTTGCCATTGTATCGGTTCCTCTGTCTGAGGTCAGAGACTTGGACTTTGCCAATGATGCAAACAAGGTGTTAGCATCAACTGTTAAAAAGCTGGAGAATGGAACAATAACCCAGAATGAAAGGAGGTTAGTGAGTTTTATTTTTTTCCCTCCTAAGTTGGTATTTGGTTACTCATGACATCATGACATCACAGTAATGGGTAAGTTGGTAGCATCTATGAAATTGGGAGAAGACATTTCAGTGCTGAGAATGCTAGTTTGGGGTTAGATTCTACCTCTGTCAGAGCATCCTTGCTGCACCTCAGGCTGGTCGGTGTATCTCATCTGTAAAATGGGGGTAAAAAGCACTTCCCCAGCTCATTGGCCATATAAAATGGCCCCATCTCCCTGGGCAAATGCAGAGGTGTTTGTCTTAATTTCCTTTGTTAAACCACTTCCTAGCTGTAATATAGGGGCCCACTGCATTGATTCTCATGTTCAAGAAAGCCAAATATATGGTGGGCAGCATGGCAGGACTCTTGATTTGTGTGGAGTTCACTGTACTACATACATTTCTTTCACCCTGCAAGAGAAGTAGAAAAAAGTCTTGGAGTGATCAAGAAGCTGCTCCAATTAGTCCCTTTCCTTTCTTACTTGTTTTTTCCGTGTTCTCTTTTCCTATTTTACATCATTTTGGTGTTTATATTCATCCACGTTTCAGCTGTAGCACTATTAGAATGTCTATTCTTCACACCCGCCCCTGAATTAAGGGATTTTGTTACACATTGTAGCCAGATATATCCCACTGCCAGTGATTTAGTTCCCTACTTGTTTTCAGCTGTCTGTGGTTAAACTGAATGTTAGACAGCATCTCTGGCAGTGTTAATTTGTAACTTCTATTCCACCATGCATCATACACAGAGTTTTGCTGAAAATGTTAGTTTTTGGTGATAAAACTGAATTTTTGCTGTCAGTTCTCAGTAGCAGTTAGACCAGATGGCTTAATATCAGGTGGAGGATTTATAGTAAAACGCAAATCTGTAATGGCTCGGGTTTTGGTACTCAGCCTTGAAAAGCTGATGGGCCATGTCATGGTTGAGTTGAACCAGAGAGGGATATGACATAATCAAGGTGTGATATCCGTCTATATAACCTTGCACTGCTGTGTCACTGCAACCCAGTATTGTCAAATCTCGATGTTGAGAGGTTGGTATAATACACTTATAAAATGTTTCACAGTGGTTTCAGAATAGTGCCATTATTTGTTTGTTCCTGTGAGTTCCTTTGGGGGAAAACCCAAACAACTCTTTTACCAGTCTTACCACCTTCCTGCTTAGGGAAGTAAGGGTCCCAACAGTTTATTCCTGATTGCTCCATCCTACAACTACCTTTACTACTTTTTCTGTAGGGGGGAACCTTGCTGTTTTCCACCAGTGGACTGAGATTTTTAAAGCTAAAGCTCACTTAGAGGGTTTAGCTGAATAACCCAGCCCTTTTGTGGGTAATGGAAGCTTTGTGTCTGGCTTCTAGAGATGACTTTGAAAATCTACTCAGCATCTTCTTACTGCTTTCATAGCATGCCTACAGGTTTAGTAGTTAGAGACTAGATGCTGTCCAAATTCAGATGATGCTTCCCCAGGGTAGGAGACATGCTGGGTTTTGTTTGTAAAAGATTGCTAGCTCTTTTAATGGAGTTTCGTTGAAATCTGTGGTCATCTGTACTTCTTTCTGTGCATGCCTGGCAAGGTACGTTAGTAACAAGGAGGCAATGACCACTTTCTTTTTGCATTTGCATTTTTATTCTTTCTTTTTGCGTCATAGAAGGAATTACTACTGCCTCTGTCCTTTTCAGCACTTGCTTCTGCCAAATCTTTTGTGTAGCAAAGAGATAAACAAATATAGTAGTTTTTCAAGAGTTTCTTAGGTCATTAGGAAAATATTCTAGTGGAGAATGTTTTTATTCCTCTAGGAAGTCCATCCTCTCTTTTTGTAGATCCATGCCTGTGATAAAGCATAAAAACCCTTGCTAGGCTACGAAAATGTGTCTTTCTACTGTTCCTGGGCCTTGAGGCCAGCTTGTATAGATTTTGGATTTCTGAATACTCTTCATCAATCCAGCATCCTGTATTTTTCTCCCTTTTCCCCCTCTGGTGGTTGTTTAATGCCTTGGTAAACATCCCTGTGATGAATTTAAGCTTCTGCTGAACAAAGGTCTGGAATCCCTAAGTATATGCCAAACTGAACTTTGCAGTGATTGAAATTCCATTATGCTAGATAAAGCTTATTCTAAATGGTGATTTTTTTCTTAATGAATCCTAGCAAGCATTGAATGATTGTCTGTAATGATTTGTCTATTCATTCTAGGTTCGTAACCAAGTTACTAGAAGATCTCATTTTCTTTGTTGCTGATGTGCCTAACAATGGGCAGGAAGTTTTGGATGTGGTCATTAGCAAGCCAAACCGAGAACGACAAAAATTAATGAGGGAGCAAAATATATTGGCTCAGGTATGTCCTACTGTGTTAATAACTTGCTTTAGAAAGCAGATTGTAGGAGAGTGATTAGAGAAAACGTTATTTTTAGGTAACTTCGCTTATGCCTTGTTGGATTTGTGTCTGGTTGGATTGGATAGATATGACACTACTTAGTCAAGGCTTACTTCTTGGTCTGTGGATCAGGTAGAAGCATGGGGGGGACAACATGTTTGATGGCAGTTTCATGTGATTCAAATAACTTTTAAGACTATATTTGATAGGAAACTTTTTACAGAATTTGAAACAAGCTTGCAACATGACCCCAATCCTGCAAGTGTTCCCCTTGTGGGAGAAATTCTAATGCCCTTATGGATCCCTGACTCTTTTTGTATGAGGATCAACCTGCGTGTAAATCAAAATTAATATTATCTTTAAGCAGCCTCCTGAAATTAAATAATAATTAAAAAAAAAAAAGGAGAAAAGGATGAAATTGGACAGCAGCCAGTGTTGTCCTCCTTTTTCATCTTTAATTTGCCCGAAGCTAAGCACTTAATAATGTTTAAAATAGTGAAGGGGAAGCAATACCAGTCAAGTTGGTGGGAAATGTAAAGCTAAACACATAAAGCTGTAATGTCTGAGATTGTGCCCACACTTGTGTTCAGTCATATGTAGGTAACTGCAGTGATTCACTTCTGTCTTTGGTCAATAAAGCCCTTGTGCTGATCCTGTCAGAGCACATTTCCATTGACTGCTGTAGGTTAAGCAAAAATCTGGATTTGATTTTCATTCTCAGTGATTTTGATTTTGAACAGATATTTGGCATGCTCAAAGCTCCTTTTAAGGACAAAGGTGAAGGATCGATGCTGAGACTTGAAGATCTAGGTGACCAGAGATACGCCCCATACAAATACATGTTAAGATTATGTTACAGAGTTCTCAGACATTCCCAACAGGACTACAGGAAGAACCAGGTCAGTGGTATTCAAGATAATTTTCCTTCTGATTTCTACAATTATATATCATGGGTTTGACATCACTCTTTGCACTTACAATAGGTAATGGTGAAAAGACTAGATTTTGTGGAGGTTAGTCATATACTGCTTCCTGTTAAGGAACAGTGTTTTTGTTTTGTAGGTATTTGTATATGAATTGAATGAATATCATAGGTTCACCTTGTACTTTCACAAGCTCTGACCGAGCCTGGGGTCCGCTGCTTCATTTATGAGCTTTCTGTTATTAAAATTATGCTCTTGGACTCTGTATTATAAAGTGGGAAGTCTGCAAAACTGTCTGTTTCTGTTGCTTAAATATTTGTAGAGGAATGGCAGTGAATCAGACCAGAAGTTTTTCTATCAGGTAGTCTGATTTGCCAGTTTTGGAGACTCCCCATGAACAGGAAGTGTTTCAGACATGGTGTCGAGTGCTTTGCAAACTGCAGCAGAGAAAAACTCCACTAACTTTATAGGCTAAAGGGACTAGAGATAAAAGATGGAACTGCTATGTATGGCTTCTTTGTTTTCTTTCTAATGCTTTACGGAAATATTTCTGCCTTTGAGGGAAAGAAAGGGAGAAAGGAAGACTCAGCAAAGAAAGCTTCTTAAACATTATAAAGCCTTTTGTTTTTTCCTTTTAAAATATTGCTTGTCATTGCTTGAACTTTATATATATTTTCATGGACCCATTTCTTTGGTTTATCAAAGAATAAGAAGAGTTAGTCATCACTGAATCTGTTTCTGGGGGACATATTTTTGGTGTTCATATGTTCTTCTGTTCATGCCAGTTCAGAGAGGTAAGTTTTGAGGGTTATTTTTGCTGATTGAGCTGGATGCCTGTGCTTCTAAAAGAAAAACATTACTGCTTAACAGGTCATCATGGGAATTTTCATTTTTTCAGGAATACATTGCTAAGAACTTCTGCGTCATGCAGTCCCAGATTGGTTATGATATTCTGGCAGAAGATACCATCACAGCTTTGTTGCACAACAACAGAAAGCTGCTAGAGAAACACATCACGGCTAAAGAAATAGAGACGTTTGTTAATTTACTCAGGAGAAATCGAGAGCCAAGGTTTGAAGTGGTCCACTTAGCATTCTTTTTCTGTATTGATAGGCTTTTCTGTGTGCAGTAGCTGTGAATCTGACTACTATTCATTGTTTTGTTGTCTCTTTTTCCCAGCTTAATTTGTTTTGACCTGGCAGACAAAAACCCCACATGTACGTGCATGTCATGCTAGAAAATGTGACAACTGCATGCAATTCTTGGGATTTGACCATATCTGCATTTCAGAACTAGAGCTTACTTGAAAGAGCTTACTTACCTTACAGGGCCTTTTTGAAAATTTGGGTTTAGTTCAGGTTCGGACAAAGAGAAACAAACAGAAATTTTAATTTCTCATAACTGCAACTCCTCTGAGAAACTGCCACTTGTGTTGGTTCCCCTGATAATAATCTTGGTGCAATTACACAGATGTGAATTTTTCTAAGCTTTTATTAATACCAATTTTCCTGCAGGTTGTAATTCCAGTTCAGGCCTGAAAGAGGCCTAGGGCAGTGAAGATCTCAGAGAACCAGATCTTGTTACCAGTGAAAAATTCTGGCCTTAACTTTCACTCATTTAGAATTTTTTTTATTAGCTTTAGGTCAGAATATAAAGGAAATGGATTTATTTTTTATTGGATTTTCAGTTGTAAAATTACTGAAGTAATGCAAATCTAGGAAATTAATGTACTGAAGGCCAGTGTCCCCTGTAATTGTGAATACCATTTTTCTCTTAGCAATTAGGGATACTGGTCAAGGTCCTAGTGCTTCGCTGCTTCAAATATTCTCTATATGTCTGCAGCTGTTTTCCCTCACTGTAATCTTATTGCTTCTCCCATGCTAAGATGTGTTGGATTTGATCAATACTAAGAGGAAATCATGTGCGAATCAGCTCCTTCTGAGTGCTGAAAGGTCCTAGTGCTTACTGACAATCTCATGTCGCTTTTTTTTGTGGTAGAAGATGTCATGGTATTGGTTACATAACTACGTGGTACAACTGCTGTATATTCCTTTCTTTAAGGCTGCAGTCCAAAAGCAATAAATGTTTGAAAAATGCACCTTGCCAAGAGGGTGCAATCTGAACAATAAACGCTTGATCTTATGATGCTTATTTTCAAGGAGAGTCTTGTCGAGTTTTGCAGCACTTGCCTGTGTGAATAAGAGCTGTGGCAGTATGCTCTAAAATACATGAGCTCCAAAATTTAAAACCTTCCTGCATTTTAGCTCCAACTAGGTAACTCCCCCAGAATTCTATGTAATTATGTGCCATTTACTTAATATTATGTTTGTGATGCAATGTTGCTGTGCACTGTTAATTACCTGTTGTCACAAAGCTTCATTTCAGTGATGGATAAAATTGTTCCTAAGTGTACTTTAAAAATGCTTTTGGTACTCATCCCTTGCAGTTCCCAGACTTCAGTGGGGAGTATAGTCTATGCTAATGCAGAAATGATTTTCTGATTCCCTGTGGTAGGATGATCACTTATAGAGATTCAAACTTGATCCTTAAATGGCTGATAGTAGGTGGTAATTTTTTTTACCTGGATTTCTAAGGAAGTGGAGTATATGATCTCTGTGTGCCTGCGCGTATCTGCTCCACCACCAGCTCGTGAGCCCCTTGCCCAGTTTTAACTTCCTTTGTTAGAGGAGTGGCGGGCTTAGAGATACTCAGTTCCTACGAATGCCATGAAAAGAAGAACCTACATAGAGGGAACAGGCCTTTTTTATATCCCAGTGAGGCAAAGGCTGCAATATGGACTACTGTTAGTAGACACAGAGGAATCCATGAAAGAGGGACAGAAGCAGATACCTAATGCATGTCCCACCTGTGAGAAAAGCCTCAGCCTGAACCTTTTTCAATACCGGAAGACCTAAATTTGAGAGGCAAATTCATAGGAAACTGATTTCTATGCAAAGCTTTGTTATTTCTGCTTTACGTGGAATGACCTCTTTGAATACAGAGGTCCTGTCTTCAGGCCCTACTAGATCTTCACTCATTGTTGGCTGTGCCTCTTCAGAGAGTTTGAAAGGCATCTTTAAGATGTGGAGGTGTGAACTCCTCCAGTGCAATGGAGTTCATCAGAGGGCACACGGCTATCCCCAGGACAAGTCACATCTCCTTGCTACTTGGGTTAGGGAGATAAATGCTACCTGATGAGGAAGACGGGTGAGAATGTGTACTCTTGCTTTTTATTCTCTTCAAGGATGAGGGCCTTTGCCTTCAGTAGAGGTCTCTTGCCAGCCAAACTTAAGACAGCCTCAGGCTGCTCTTAAGTTCTGGCACAACTCTTTGGCCTTTGATTTGCTGACGATTGTCAAATTTGGGATATTTTTCTTTTCTCTCCCTGACTGATCATTCAGAACCATTCAGGCTGGCTCTAAAAGCTATTATTCATCTTTATCTGTTGTGAGTTGCAAGAGTATGAATCAGCAAAGATCGTGTGTTGATGAATTTTGCACTATATGCTCCCTTGAGCATATTAGTGATGGATGCTAGAGATTTCCTCTGCAGTGTTTCTGTGTAATATTTTAAGTCTTGTATTCTGTTGCATCTGTGTTTTTTTGAGTGCAGATTCTTGGATTATCTATCGGACCTGTGTGTATCTAACACCACAGCAATACCAGTAACTCAGGAACTCATCTGCAAGTTTATGCTGAGCCCAGGGAATGCTGACATTCTCATTCAGACCAAGTGAGCATCCATAATCAGAACATACCTTTTTGTTACTTGCTCTGTTGTTAAATTTGTGGCAGTTTGCTAGTGGCTCCATTGTGAATGGTTTGTGTTTGCAGGCTGGTTTCGACACAAATGGACAATCCTTTGGAATGCCCTGTCATCTCAGATGATATTGATGAAGAGGAAGTATGGCTTTACTGGATTGACAGTAACAAGGAGCCTCATGGCAAAGCCATCAGGCATCTGGCTCAGGAGGCGAAGGAAGGCACAAAAGCAGATTTAGAAGTTCTTACCTACTACAGGTGAAAACCTGCTTATTCAAATGGAAGAAAATGTAAACTCTCTGAAGACCCTGGTGCTGTTTTTATCCAGTTCATTTCCCAGTATCAAAAAAGGAAGTCAGGTCATGCCAGAAACCAGGATTAAAAGTTTGTTTCAAGATTTTCCTGTAGGAATCACAATCTCTGCTGTCTATTCGAGTTTCCTTTGCTCATGACAGCTCTTTGTGTCTCTATCGTTTTGCCTCTTATCTTTTATTTCCTGGGCTTTATTGTTGCCCTGGAAGCAAGGCATGCTTTGAGGAAGGAGTGTCCTGAGTGTCCTGGGAATTAGAGGGGAAATGGGATCATAGAGCAGTGTCTTACACTGGTTGAAAACAGACAGTCCAGATGCTTCAGCCTTCCATTGAACAATGCTTCCTTAGAGTTTCAAAGGGAGCCCAGTCTTCATGGGGGCAGGAGTGTAACATCATTTTTAATGGCAAGTTGGTCCCTTGCTTAGCAAAGTCACTCTTGTTACTTTTCAGGATTTATATCAGAAAGGCTGACTTCAGGCTTGTAAAGTGAGATTCTGTGGTACGTTGTTCCATTTCCAACTGATTTCTTTGAATACCGTGTTATTACCTTTTATTAAGGTACCAACTAAACCTCTTTGCAAGAATGTGTCTGGACCGCCAATATCTCGCCATCAATCAGATTTCTGCACAGCTGTCAGTTGACTTGATCCTACGATGTATGTCTGATGAAAGCCTCCCTTACGACCTCCGGGCTTCGTTTTGTCGGCTGATGCTACACATGCATGTGGACAGAGATCCTCAGGAATCTGTGGTACCTGTCAGATATGCCAGATTGTGGACTGAAATTCCTACCAAGATCACAATTCATGAGTGAGTTGAAAGTGTTTCAAACTGAAGTACAAAAGCATTTTGTAGGGTTTAGTCTCAGAAAAAAATGGTTGTAGATATCTAATACTGATACACATGTATGCGAAAAGGTATTTAGTTGCAGAGCACAGAGCTGTTAATTATTGTTACTGTTGGAAACTTCCATGGGTAACTTTACATATTTCAATTTCATTTTTCACTGTCTTCTTGTGGGGAACAAGCTAGGGAAAAATGGCATGGCCATTCCTCAGACCAACAGAACTTGACGTAATCCAATTGTGCCGAACATTACAGGTTTGTTAGGCTGAGACTCAGTTTTACAGTTCAAGCTCAACTTGAAAGCCACAGTTGGAAAGCCAGAGTTTAGAGTTAGGTACCATTATTGCCCCAGAAACAGTTCACAGAGGTTTGTTCTTAAGCAAAGTTCTTAGGCATGTGTTAAATTTAAGTATGGGAGAAGGGCCCCTTGACTTAATGGAAACCCTCTCTGGCTTAATCGGTTTGATGGGGCGGCATCACTGGGCTAGACACCCAGACAAGGGAGTATCTGATTGAAGAGACAAAGAAGAAAAAGTATAGAGCTGCAGCAAACAGTATTGCTTCTGTTAGTGAGATGAAGGACTGTTTTGACATATATGAAAAATCAGTCCTAGTTGGTGGTGCAAAGGAGGAAGCTGACTGTCCCACGCTGCTTTCATAATCTGCTGTCTTGTGGAAATATCAAACTTTGTATGATGGGTAGAGGGGACAGCTGAGACTTAGTGACTTATTGAATTGGTACAGCAAGATTTAAGAGTGCTATCTGCCAGAACTGTGATATTTTCCTGTCTCTGTTATCCCTGTTCACTGCAACCCTTCCTGGTACTGTTGGAGGGAAGGTTTTTTCATCTTGATGTGTCTACGAAGAACCAACTGACCTCTACCCCTTCTACTTACAGAGAACTAGAGAACTGACAGTAATTTCATAGCATAATGATTGGTTTATTTTCTTCTTTAGTAACAGCTGATCTTGATATTAGAGGTGTTTAATTTCCTTTCTTCTGTGCCTTGTGTTGTAGATATGATTCTTTCACAGACTCTTCAAGGAATGAAATGAAGAGGAAGTTTGCACTAACTATGGAATTTGTAGAAGAGTACTTGAAAGAAGTTGTAAATCAGCCCTTTCCTTTTGGAGACAAAGAGAAAAATAAACTTACATTTGAGGTACTACTTCTGCATCCTACTTATGGTATTCCTCCTCATTTCAGCTAAATTGACATTGATTCTTTCAAAATAAAGCTAGTTGCTGAATAACGTTTGTGTAAAATGTCCTAAAGAAGCACCAGTTCCTAATTCCAGTGTTCCTGATGGTGAGCATTGCTGCAGAAAGTAACACTGCTGTCTGCTGCCAGACGGCTGTATTTTTCCTTCTTTCTCCTGAGATGGCTGCATTTCACTGGCAGAAGGAAGGATATGTGTGTGGGTCAATGGCCATATGCACTTTCTCTCAACATCAGTGAATTAGCATGCAGCAATTCCTCAATATAAGTCCTTTTTCTGTGTGAGATATGACACTGAAGGAAATACTCTGAATAGCCTATTCCTGTTTTTAAATATTGCTTGAAATTTCTGACAGAAACTTTAGATAAGCCTAAATCTTCTAGATTCAAACAACATTAAATAAAGGGGAAATGCTTACAGCTTTTGTAGTTTTTCCTCCAATCTGCCTCCCAGGCTTTGGCGTTCCTGCCTCAGGTCATCTGAAATCACCTCTGTTCAAACTTACAACATTCATCTCACTGTTGTGACTTCCACCTTCTCCACAGCTGCTTCCTCTTTAAACAGTTTCCTGGAGTCTTTCCTCTTGATCCTATATATTATCCCAGATAAAATTGTATCCTTTCAAACCTTCCTAAATCTCATGTTGGTTTTGCTCTGTGTTGTAATTTGACTGTCTAACTCTGAAAAACATTTAAGGTCACTGGTCTTAGTCCAAGGCCCGTTTAAATCTCTAATGCACTAATTTCGAGTGCACTCTAGATCTGAATCTCTGTGAAAGCTGCTGTGCAAAATGCAACTGTATCGCACAGCCAAATACCACAAAGGTTGCTGATATCGCCTTCATTTTTCATTTGTTTTTCTTATAGGTGGTACATCTGGCTCGAAACCTCATATACTTTGGCTTTTATAGCTTTAGTGAGCTTCTCAGACTGACCCGGACACTCCTCGCCATTCTGGATATTGTTCAAGTTCCTATATCATCATACTTCGAAAGGTTGAGCAAGTTTCAGGATGGAGGTGAGAGAAACAGCAAAGACCATTAGTCCAGTGTGTAATTCATTATTTAGGTTGGAAATAATTCATGGAAAATCTCATTGATCTTCCAATGTTCTTTATTCACACAGTAACACACCTACAGGAATGTTACTGAAGGATACATTAAGATGGTCAGCTAAAAAGGAACCTTTTTGAACAGAGCTGAGCCTTTGTGGCTTGTGGTTACTGTGTTGGTGCTGCTGCTCCTTTGCTTGTTTGTAACTGAACTTTCAAATCTGGATCTAAGCCTCAACATCTGTTGCATTGAACATCCTGATCAAATGCAGATAGCATTTGCCTGGGCACAGTGATTTTGATGGCTCATATATGGCACAACCGTTTATTATTTATCTTAGCCTTTCACTTAAAAGGACAAAAAAGATGTTTCTGGTCCAGCAGCTGCAGAAGCACCAAATAGAAGTCCAGATGAGGCCATCCTCTGGATGCGTTTGTCAGTTTAGAATATTCTCTTTTAAATCCAGACCAGAGTGCCTGTCTGACAACCCCAAGCCAATACTGTATGTCCCAGTGCCTTTTCTACCATGGCTTAAAACTGGGTTGAAGGATGAGCATGCCAGGAAAGTGCTGAAACTTAGCAGTTTGGTTTTCCTGTGTCTGTGGATGGGAGGTGTGACAGTCATGTGGGCTGAAGGTCCAGGAGACAGATGGCAAATTCTGTTTTAATATGTGGCTGCTGTAAGTGTCATTGCACTGCCAGCTGGCCCACAGGAACGAAAAGGATGAGCTGTCTTGTTTTGAAACAACAATTATTTTGTATTTTCTCTGGGATGCCTTTTCCCAGCCTTGACTTTTCCTAATCATCATTCTGCTCAGTTGCTTCCACAGATGCCCTATGTGAGTATACCGTCCTTCATAACTTTTCCTTATTTGAGGTTCACACACTCTGGAGAAGTGTAGATTGTCATTGTCATCTCTGAGAAGTCTTATGCTCAGTTCTTTCGACCTTTTCTCCATTGCTGCCAGTACACTTTGCTGAAAGTCCCTTAAGTCTTTCCTGCAGTGCTGTGCCCACTAAGGCATGCTATAGCTGGCTGCAGTCCCTCTACAGTGCTAGACAAAGACTGTATGTTCAGACACTTGGAATTATGTTTGCTTTTTTGTCCCTGAAATACTGCATTGCAGACTCTCTTCTTAAATGCCTCTGGACACAGTTTGGCTCCAGATACCATCTTGGCATATTGGCAACATGGAACATGCAGATGTGGTTCTTCTGTTTAGTCCTCTCTCTGCTCAAGTCTTTAATCCTGATTAGACTACTCATTCAATGTTTTTACTCACATTCATTACTCATAAAATTGTATTTTGTCTTTAATTCCCTTTTATTTCTGTTGAAAGGTTTCCTTTCAGGCTGTGTAGGAGAGGGAAGAACCACCCATTAAACGCAAACAGACCTGCTCTCAGTTGTACTAATTTCCAAAGCAATTCCATGTTCATGAATTTACTCTGAAATAAACAAGTGTGAAGGAATGCAGAAAATGTCACCACCATGCAAATGGGAGCTTGGTAGCCTTGTTAGTAACACTAAACCATTGCCTGGAGCCTTGTTGGAAACTTTTGTCACACATCTGTTTTTTTGTCTCACCTTCTTCCAGTAGAAAAGGAATGGAACAAAGGTGTGATTTTTTTGTGTGTCTTTGATTAAGCTTTGGCCTTTATACATATTCTTTAAACTTCTTTCTTGGCTGTCGTTGTCACCAGGGATGTTTATCTTTTAAACACTGGACCAATTCAGGTTAGGATGTTACAATCCACTGATGTTCTTTTGGAATTTGTTGTTGTTGTTCCCACCCCTCTTACCCCCCTTTCCTGCTAACAGTATGTTATAAAGCCTATAAAGAGGGCTTTTTGGTAGCTCATATTGTTGTCAGTTGTGTCTGCCATCTTAAAGGAGACCAGAGATAGACATACTGGCTGTGCTGTCTTGGCTTAAAAATAGGCATTGAAATTTTGCTGTGGAGAGACAGGTGTTCTTATGTGTGAATAGCTGTAACACTGGCTGGAGAGGCTATCTACAGTGTTTGATAAAAGAAAAGGATGCCCATCTTTGGATGGTCATATCTTGTCTTCAGCCTCCCTCTTCTTTTCTGATTGCCAAATCATAAACCACATAAACTTGTATGTTCACTTTCCAGCTGAGACAGAATGATCCTGAATATTTAACTGTTAATGCCCAAGCATCTTACCATTCCTCTTTCTGTCTCTGGAGATGCATGTTTACGTACCTATGGGCAGCATTAGGCTTTGAAGATGCATATGTCACAAGGATGCATAATTTAGAAGGAGCTTAAGTAGTTTCTTAACTCCTAGTCACTAATTTTGAGCACCCAGCTCGTAGAACTTCTTGCCTGAAGAACGTATTTTATGTCTGAAGAATGTGTTACTCAAGCAAAACTGGGGAGTACTTTTAATTAAAATACCCCACATGAAACCCAATCAGCTTTCACTTTAGTTGCAGATTAAGATTAGAAAGGGGGCTCAGGAAAAAAGCACCAGGTACTGTAGTTGCTGACATTCTAGAGACAACTGCTGGAGCTGAAATGTCAGCTCTTTGTAGCTTCTTCCTATATTTGTTTTGCGTGGAAGCCTGCTGATGAGGGCTCAATCAGACTGTAGGGGCAGGAGTTTGGCTGGCATAATTTGCTCTAGTTCCTGGGACTGTGGGATTTTGTGCCAGCTGAGAGTTTGGCTCCACTCTTCTTTTTTTTAAAAAAAAATTTATTTATTTTTTTTTTAAAAGCAAAACTAAACAAAGTAACTTTTATTGGGTAGCAGTCCTTTCAAACCGTGCCTGTGGTTGTCTTGCACCTGCATCCTGAGTTTGTCTTTGCTACAAGATAGCGAGAAGGTTTGAACAAAGCTCTGAACACACAGAGGCTGTGATCTGCTTGTGTGCTCTTTGCTTTGCTAGGTATCACTTAGCTGTAGCTGAGGTGGAATGTGTTCACACTGAGCTAGACAGTGCTGAGCTCAGGGGATTTGCTGGTTTGTGCTATAGTGTAGATGCCTGCTTCTGTGTCCAGTCTTTTCAGACTTAATGAATTTGTGCTTGAGCCCACAGTAAGGTGCAGAACATGCTTACACTTTCTGTCTCAGTGGTGGTAGGCTGGAACTTCTCTGCCTCTGCATGTGTTGGACTGTAGATGATGCTAAGGATAAGTGAGTCCTGACTTGAGACTAAGCTTGAGTCTTTGACAGGGAGACCTTGCGCTATTAGGGTTACTGAAAGAGGCCTGTATATTGGATGATCATGTGTCTTAATGGGGTTCTTGTAGTGTTTTATTAAAGAGCAGGGGTCTTCTTGCATCTTGTGTAGTCACATCTACCCAAACAAGTTTGACCCCAAAAGCACTGATGTTACCGAGGAGTCTGGATCCACCTTGTCCAGGACCCACTAGGGAATGAACAGGCCAATAGAGAAACTGGTCTTAGGAATTTCATCTAGACCCCCCCCTCACTCCGATAGTAAGCACTGTTCACCAGGCAAAACTATAGGTAGGACTTATCACTTTTATAGTACTTATAAGATTGTACATCAAAGGTTTCCCCTTCCCCTTTTACACAGTTAACCTCTCTGTTATAAAACTGAGATGTTGAGAACGTGTTATTGTTTTATCAGTTTCCTGTCTTGGCTTTTTATTGTCCCTTTTAACTTAAAATACTGGGCTCTTAGGGCATTAAGTACAAGTAAAGTAAAAAAGTTTACAACAGAAAGTAACTCAGCTTTTTTTTTTGTGGTTTTTGAAAATGTGTTGGCTTTTTCTAAAATCAGGATGGTCTGTTAATTTTCTCAGAAAGTGTTTTCTTACTTGTAAGTTCCATAAAATACAGACAGATGGATTGTTCCCTGCCCTCATTCAGGATGGTGGAAGCTCTCCCTCTAGTCAGTTACAGGTGAGGGTGACTTCTTCCTGCCTTCAGAGGAGGTCAGACTCTGTTCTCCCGTATTTCTCCAGACTGTGGCAAGGGTCTCGCTACACAGCACCCTCTCTGGCAGGCCCAATACTTGCAACATTCATATGATACCTTTGAAAGCAGAGTATTGCATGTAGATGTCTCTCCAACACAGTATTGCTCTACTGATACGGAGATTTACACAGCTGCTTTCTTAAAGGAAGTTAGCTTCTCCTAGTTGCAAAACTCATTACATTGATGTTATTAAAAACAAAACCAACCAACTAAACAAAAAAAACCCACTACACAGAAAAAGGCAAGATTGTCTCTGTTTTGATTTTGTATGTATACTAATAATGTGTGAAAATAAATTATTAGTTTCGGAGATTATAAAAGTTGGGTTGGTTTTTTTTTTTTAATCTTTTTTATGCATCTCCTCAGTGGTCACAAATGTCTATGCATTAGCTTGAATTCAGTAAAAACACATATTTCAGTCTTTGAGGTGTAAATGGGTCTAAATCCCATTTCTGACAAATGTTGAAAGCCAGTCATGATGCTGGGGACTGATGATTTAATGGTATAAACAAATATGTTTGAATTTTACCAAGCACTAGTGGCCTGATCCTGTAACTCTAATGTAGGAAAGTGCTACTGAATACCAGCTTGGGCTCTGTATGTTGTAATTTTTATCACTCTTATTGTAAATTTGCATAAGTTAATATTCAATGGATATTTAATAGCAATATTTTCTCAATAATTACACCTATTCAGAAATGCAGTTGATTTTCAGGTTCTAGGGCAATTGACCTGAGAGGTTTGACCAAATGGAAAAGTCATGTAATTCCTGTTCTGCAGCTGTAGTAGATCCAAGGTGGCAGAAGTTAAGAATTTTGGGTAGGATCTATTTGGTTTAGGTATTGTATTTTAGCTCTTTTCTAAAGTATTGATTTCTACGGGAAACTCAGTGGTAGATAGATTTGGGGACAGATAGGGTATACTGCCTTTCCATTACTGACATTGATTTGTTCCAGGTTGGTAGCAACAAAAGCTTCCAGCACCTGATTCCTGTA